AGACAGACATGTCCTCTTGAATCAACAATGAAGCTTTTCTGTAAGTACAATGAACGATCGGTGAAAATGGAATTTCATCTCTAATTTATCGAATATAATAACGACCTTATTAATAAAAATTCCGTGGAGGAAATTCATATACACTGAAAAAAAATTCTGGTTAGGCTATATTTAACATTACTTTCTAGTTATGTTAACCAGAGTTCTAGTTGAATTAACTAGAATTCTCGTTAAAATAACCAGAATTCTGGTTAACCTTACCAGAATCAAAATGTTAAATATACCCTAACTAGAATTCTGGTTATTGTAACTAGAATTTTTTTCAGTGTAGTCATACATAATTTCGAAAAAAAAAAATTTTTTATTTTCTCTTAATTTGATAAAAACGAAGATAAGAAAAACATTGACTTTGGCCTTATATATACTTATTAGTATATATATATATTATATATGATTAATGAATATAACATTTTTGATGAGTTTGATGTTCTCAAGAATTATTTTCTTCTTATTTTGCGATGCAATGCAAAGAGCGGAAGAAATTTTATACTTTTTTTTTTGCATATGGCAGAAAAAAAATATAATCTAACTGTATATATCGTTATCATTTACAAAAAAAAAAAATGTAATTACGTATGTGAAAAAAGAAAATATTTATAATTTGCAATATGGGAGTCTTGTTAATAAATTATTATATAGATATTTGAAATTTAAGTTTTGATAAAATATATAAATTACAGAGAAATATATATATGCATCAATACTTCTTTTTTTTATATGTGCGCGATGAGATTACATTATAGTTTTAACCTTTGCTTTTCATAAATATATATACAGAGAGGGAAGCAAATTTTTAAAATTTATAGTAATACATGTCTTTTGTGAGATTAATAATAAAGTGACTTGCTCATTTTATGAAAGGAGGATAGTTAAAATTCTTTTTTTGCATGTGTGCGGCAAACTCACATATATATACGTCAAATAGTGTGCGTGAATTATGTGTTTTATAAAAAGTGTTCAATGATAATAGTAAAATATAATATATATAGTAAAATAAAATTTACAAAATTCAAGATTTATATATAAAAATAGACAATTGTCCTTGATATTAAAATAACAGTAAAATATTTATTTCTAACATAAAGTATATGTGTTAAAAGCATTTTCCGTTTGGTCATTAAGTATATCGTTAAGTGTTGAATCGATCGATTGGTGCGGTTAGCTGTCGTACACGAACACCCAAAGAGCATTATTAGCATTGAAATCCACGAGACTATAAACACACTATTCACAAGTGTTTATCCTATTCTATATATCCTATTAGATAAATCTCCAAATAAAATAAACTCTATTCAAAATAAAAAAAAAAAGATATCTCAAACGGATTAGACAAAAAAAAATTTAATATAATACTTAAAATTATATAACAGTGTATATATATAGTTAACCTTCATTTCATGCCTAGGAAAAAATTTCATAAACAAAAAATTCCTCTTCTGATAGACAATAACTTTCTTCTGATTGCGAAGCCTAAACATAAAAAAAAGTGTAGTAACTTCTCACGAGAGTTACGACCGACTATATTCTAAACAAGTTTCGAACTACAAAATAGGCTTTGAAATGGTCATGAAACGGCTGTGAATAGGTTTTAAACAAGTGAAGAATATACAGAAAGTAATACGAATGTGTTCTGAATAAGTTTCGAACAAGTTTTATAGTATTGGTTTTGGACATGTTTTGAAAAAGTTTGTAACAAGTTGTTGAATAAGAACAGAACAAGTAAAAAAAATGGTTTTAGATATATTTTAAAAAGATTTTGAATCTGTATCGAACTGGTACAATATTAGTTTTCAACAGGTTCCAAATAAGTTTTGAACAAGTACAGAACTTGTTTGGATATGTTTTGAAAAGGTTTCGGACAAGTTTTAAATAAGCATCAAACAAATTCGAAATTATTTTTTAAAATGTTTTGAATATGGTACAAAACTAGTATTAAATAGTTTCCAAACAAGTACAGAACTGGTTTTGGAAATATTCTGAAAACATTTTCAATAAGTTATGAACAAGCATCGAACAAACTAGAACTATTATAGTTTTGGAAAGGTTTTGAATAGATATATTAAACAAGTTTCGAATAGATTTCAAACAAGTACAGAATGGTGTCAAACACGTTCTGAATTAGTTATGGACAAGTTGTTGAATAAACATCAAACAAGTATACAAAATAGTTTTAGACAGTTTATAAATAGGTTTCGAATATGTATATATCATACAGGTAAAATAAGTTCTGAATAGGGTTCAAACGAATACAGAACTAGTTTTGAATATATTTTGAAAATATTTCGAATAAGTTATGAACAAGTGCCGAACAAGTTCTTAACTACCATGTGAACAGATTCTAAATAGAATTTAGAAAAGTTTCGAAAAAGGTTCGAATATGGGCTTCAAACCATTTTAAAGTTCTGAAACAGATACACATTTTAAGTTTCGAATATGTTCGAAACAAGTACAGAATGGTTTACAGATACATATATATGCGTTATCTAAATAAGTTCCGCACATGTTCAGTATGAATTTTAAAAATAGTTTTAAACGGATTTCACACAAAGTATTCCGAAACGGTTTCGAACATATGTTATGAGTATATATATATATAAGTTTCTAACAAAATCGCAGAATTTAAAAAAATGCAAACATTTCGGACAAGTTCGTGAAAACATTTTTAAAACTAGTTCTGAATCGGTTTGAGACATGTTTTGAATTGCGGATAAGTTTTTGAATAAGTTTCAAACAATGTTTGGAATAAGTTATATATATATAAAAGAACAAAGTAGAATAAGTTTTATTAAATGATTATTAACAGGTTTAGTGAAAGTTTGAAATAGTAGATAAATGAGTATCTATATAGTTATATATAATAGTACATATGTAATATATATATTTATAATCGCCTAACCCTAATTTTATCGAAATTTTTTAACCACCCCCGCGATATTATATATGACCTTAATCTAATTTAAATATGAAAGCGTTTTATCAATTCACTTGCCTTCCTGAAATTTGACAGGATTAAGTCATAAATCTGACTCACTACACTCGTGTTCTCTCTCTCTCTCTCTCTCTATACATATAGGTCCCCTCATTTGTGTGTAAGTTTTGAATAGAGTACCAGTGGCCGTATCAATACTTTTTCTGTTGAATCCACGATTGCGCGGATAGGTATATATATATATACAAATATATACATGTATATGTAGCGTTGGGGAGTGAGCGGGTTGAAAAAAGAGGATTGGAAGCCCTGGGGGTAGTTGTGAATGGGGGAAAGAAGAGACGATGGCGGCGGAAGGGGAAAAAGGCTGTTTTATTATGCAAAAGCATTCGCGGCACTGGCTCTACGCCGTTGCATCGGCAGCGTCACGTTGCTCGCACCCCAACCCCCCGGGGGTTGGAAGAGACGGGGCTGGAAAAAGCCTCCGCCCCTGAAAAGCGTAAATACGGGCAGCCATTTTGCGATAAACTTTTTTCGGAGGCTTCGACGAGAGAGAGAGAGAGCAAAAGAGAGTGAAATGCGCTATGGAGGATGCGAGGCTCCAAGAGCGAGAGAGAGGACAAACATATATATATATATATATATATATATATATATACTCATAGAAAGAGAGAGAGAGAGAAAAACAACCGAGGGAGAAAAAGTTTTGGACACGGTCTCTTGCAAAGGTAGATCTGCCAATATCTCCACATGCATTCGTTACAGACCTTATTCGTCAGAAAAAGGGAAACTAAAATAAAAATCCCTCTTTTCTCTAATAATTAATCATTTAATTTTCATTCGTGTCACTAATGTATAACTTAATTCTCGACTGATATTTTATATATACACAGAAAATTAAAAGGCATTAAAATAAGCTGCAACGCTTATTATTTTTATCCAATTTTTCCTTATTTTAATACCAAAATGGATTAAAATAAGCAAAATTGGATTAAAATAATAAGCGTTGCAGCTTATTTTAATGCCTTTTAATTTTCTGTGTATATATATAACATTCTTTTTCCACATATAATATATATCTCTGCCACTGGAAATTTCTACTAACTAAATATTCGTTCATCTTAATATTAACGTTAACTTGTCGCTAATTCTTGCCGAGTTAAACGAGCAAATAGAATATTTAAACAAAATGTAAACTGCATAAGTCACCGAGTCAACAGATGTTACATAATGTAGTTTTGTATGCAGACTGACGTATATGTTTTTTGGTTTTTATATATAGAAAATCTAATAAAAAAAATACGATATTTATTCGCATAAAATTTTTTTTCGATTCTTCAATCAAATATATTAGCATATAGTTGAAAAAGGATATGTGTCAGAAATTCAGAAAAACATGTTTCTATATATATATATATATATACATATATGTACATATTTTAGGATATATTGTATTCAAGAACCATTAATATATCGAAAATTCATGTCAAAACGTTTATATATCAAATATTTATTAAATTACGTCCTCAAACAAAGGATTGCCTTTTCATATATATACAAAAATATAGTATACAATTTTCATGTAAACAATATTCCAGTTTTTTTTCACCTAAATATTCTTAAAAAGCGACTTCTAAACTCGTTGTTAACAATAAAAGTAGTTATTTACATAGGGAGAATAATTCTAAAAAAAAAAATTCAACAAATACAGCGACATATCTTAAAACTACAAACCATATTTCCATTATATAAGAATTTATTTAAATATACTAAAGAATAAGCGATAAATTAAATTTTTTTCATATCTATCGGAAATGGAATTTTATACCGGAAATGTATAATTAAACAATGTACGAGAATCCATATAAGAAAATAATTCGCATCAGTATTTATATACAAAATCAAAGCCGAAAATATTAATAAAAAAAGAAAAAAATACTGGATAGAAAAAAAATATAAACTACTACTCTAGAAAAAATGGTACTATCGAACTACCCTTATTCATACTCACATTATTACGAGGCCGAATCTCTAATCGTTACACAGTTATACGATGAGTTCTTACCCCCAACTGATAACTCTTCACTCAGCGGGAGGCTACCCCCCTCCCTACCCGGCCTCACCCACTGGGGACACCCCGTCGACTACTAGATATCTAGTGGGTCTTTCTGGCACCAAGGTTCGCGTTAAACCACCCCATTTGAGCGTTTTCCACCCCGACAACGTTAACTTTCAACAAATATAGGTTTCCTTTTAACATACCATCACTCCACGTGGATTAAACAACGAATCATGTGCCACCATTTCAGAACTTGTCCAATAAAATGTCATTCCTCTACAAAATGTTAACGCCCACTTTCAACGTCAGTGTACGCCGCTTTTAATGTCAACCAATTGAAAGCATTCGCCAACCAATAGCGTAACGCTTACCAACTATATAGAGAGAGAACGTTATACACTTGGGATCAGTTCAGTCCACGTGGAGTGTGTGTGAATTTTGAGTTGAGCCAAATCTAGGGAAGGAACTGTTTCGTTGCAGTTCATGGCGAATCTATTGACCACCCACGCGAAAGTAGACTCTGGGATAGAAAAACAAGCCCTCTGGAGAAAAGAAACCAAGGGCCCAAAGTACTCATCGGATCTCTCTTCTGTGTGCTCCATTTCTCGTGCTGCCCTCTTCATTCTACCCCCCCCCCACCCCCTCCTCTCCCGCTTTTGTCCTTTACGAGACGCGGCCTATCTTAGTTTACCTCGAATTCTATATATGTTGCGCATTTTCAAGGGAAAAACATAATCTCCCAAGATTCACAATAAAGAACGTGATAATCGTGTTTTTTTCCTTGATTGAATTTTTTAATTTTTTTTTTGAATGCAAATCATCAGAGAAAAAAAACGCTGGGTAAATTTTGTTGCGGGTAATTTTAACCAATGCTAATTCACATATAGACGGTGGCGCCTTCAACTAGGATAAAATTTGTTGCAGTTAATTTTTATACCGGGGTCAATCCATTATATTTCGAATGAAGTCGTCGCTGACTAATTTTTAAAAATTATAATACTTTGCAGAAATGATTTTGAAGTTATCAAGATCACGAAATGAAAAGAATTTTATTAAAATTTTAATTATTTATTGCAAAATATGAATTTAAAGTATATGAGGTGCTGAAAACTGTCAATTTTTTAGCCATTAGAAAATATGCAAAAATACGTAGAATTTACCATAAAAATAAAAATTTTTTTTTGTAATTTACTAAGAACACAGGCACACAAAAAATAAAAAGTTGTTTGGCCGAAACACTACACTAGTCTATTTTTATGTATTTTTTCACGCTGAATCCGAATCCGAAGTCAGAATTATCAGATTGGCTTTTATTTTTGAGATAAACTCAAAAAACTGCTCAGAAAGAAAAAAAAAATCAAAAATTTAAAAAATTTTTGAATGTCACTGCGATAGTGTAATTCCATGTATTTTTTGTCGCTGAATCCGAATCCAAAGTCAGAATTGTTAGATTCGCTCAAATTTTTGAGATAATTGCAAAAAAACACAAGTAACAAAAAACTCAAAATACTCAAAATCAGTTTTTTGGAATTATCTTCAAAATTTGAGCCAATCTGTCAATTCTGACTTCGAATTCGGATTCAGCGTGAAAAAATACATGAAAATGCACTATCGTAGTGTTTCGGCAAAAAAATTATCTGTGCCCCTAATTCAGAATTTTTATCAGTTTTTGGCGATTTTAGCTCAAAGAAATTTTTTTTTGCCGAAACATTACGATAGTGCATTTTCATGTATTTTTTTACGCTGAATCCGAATTCGAAGTCAGAATTGACAGATTGGCTCAAATTTTGAAGATAATTCCAAAAAACTGATTTTGAGTATTTTGAGTTTTTTGTTACTTGTGTTTTTTTGCAATTATCTCAAAAATTTGAGCGAATCTAACAATTCTGACTTTGGATTCGGATTCAGCGACAAAAAATACATGGAATTACACTATCGCAGTGACATTCAAAAATTTTTTAACTTTTTGATTTTATTTTTCTTTCTGAGCAGTTTTTTGAGTTTGTCTCAAAAATAAGAGCCAATTTGATAATTCTGACTTCGGATTCGGATTCAGCGTGAAAAAATACATGAAAATAGACTAGTGTAGTGTCTCGGCCAAACAACTTTTTATTTTTTGTGTGCCTGTGGAATGAATAAATTTATCATTATCAATTGATGTAATTATTTAAATATGTGAAATAATATATAAAATATGATTTTCAAGTTCGCCTGTCAAATAACCTAAATTTGCAAATTTCATCTATTAAATGTGAGAAAGAGAAGTCATTAAATTGAAAAAAACCTTACCAAATATAAAGTACCTGTGACTAACTTTTAGTTTTTCTTAGCACTTTTTTCCTTTTTTCTTCATAAATGTGAAATAAAAAGCAATAAAAATTGGCACTTTGCTTATTTTCACTATTTTCAAATGTAAATAACTTTCTTGGAGAAAACTGAAAAATTACAAAACTTGGGCAATATCTAATTGATCACTAAATACACACACTGGAAAAAAATTCGCTTTGGTCCCGAAGATACTTTTTGAGATAATTATGTTTAAATTTTTTACAATTTTTATCAGGTTAATACATGTAGTTTTTTAAGGACGAAGTTAGGTTTTATTGGTTAAACATTTTGAACTAACTTCAATTTTATAAAAATCACATGCATTAACCTGATAAAAATTGTGAAAAATTTAAACATAATTATCTCAAAAAGTATCTTCGGGACCAAAGCGAATTTTTTTCCAGTGTGTGTATTTAGTGATCAATTAGATATTGCCCAAGTTTTGTAATTTTTCAGTTTTCTCCAAGAAAGTTATTTACATTTGAAAATAGTGAAAATAAGCAAAGTGCCAATTTTTATTGCTTTTTATTTCACATTTATGAAGAAAAAAGGAAAAAAGTGCTAAGAAAAACTAAAAGTTAGTCACAGGTACTTTATATTTGGTAAGGTTTTTTTCAATTTAATGACTTCTCTTTCTCACATTTAATAGATGAAATTTGCAAATTTAGGTTATTTGACAGGCGAACTTGAAAATCATATTTTATATATTATTTCACATATTTAAATAATTACATCAATTGATAATGATAAATTTATTCATTCTTAGTAAATTACAAAAAAAAAATTTTATTTTTATGGTAAATTCTACGTATTTTTGCATATTTTCTAATGGCTAAAAAATTGACAGTTTTCAGCACCTCATAAACTTTAAATTCATATTTTGCAATAAATAATTAAAATTTTAATAAAATTCTTTTCATTTCGTGATCTTGATAACTTCAAAATCATTTCTGCAAAGTATTATAATTTTTAAAAATTAGTCAGCGACGATTTCATTCGAAATATAATGGATTGACCCACCGATTTTGGTGTAAAAATTCTACTTTTTTTTCGTGTGCAATAATTTAGGTTATGATCTTAAATCACAGAGAGATTGGTTGTTGAAATTAAAAATTATCCGGACATCCGGAGGATAATGTTTGTAAGAGAGATAAAGCACGGTTGGGTAATGACGCGTTGAATGTTTCTGATTGGCTTGTAATATTTCCGGAAACATTACGAGCCAATCAGAAACATTTGACGAGTCGTTTACCCAACTTTGCGTTATAACCTCTCATAATATTGCTCTCATACTTTAGTCGACTTTTAGTCCCTGTTTTTTTTTTAATAAGTAAAAATATTAACAAATATATTTTAAATAAAGGATATTGATTTTGATAAATGTAAGTTATGGATTTAGAGAACGAAAAAGTGTAAACATTTTTAGTTGTAATATCTACGATAAAAAAAAAAATTGTTCTACAGTTCAGAAAAGACATTTGCAGCTACTACAAATCTCAATGGTAAAAGGAAACAAATATTTTTGAATGGAAATAAGTCAAAATCGATTCTAATAATTGGGTTAAAATAAAATATTCCAAATTGGGTTGGTATCATTTTGACACAAATTTTTTTTATAAAAATTGTACAAATGGAGATTATGTTGTTTTGTAAAAAACTGATAAAACGAAAAATGTTTTGTACAACTGAAAATTAAAAGTTAATTTATTCCTAAAAATTAAAAATATAACAATACATAGTACAAAGTATCATTTTGGATTTTAATAATTGTACAAACTAATATTATTCATTGGTTGTACAAAGTAACAATTTTCATAAAAAAAATTTGTGTCAAAATGATACAGATCCCTTAAATTGGTATTATTTTGACATAAAATTTTTCGTAACAATTGTTATATATTGTATAACCGGTGATAAATATTAGTTTCTACAATTATTAAAATCCAAATTTTATTTTGTACTACTATATTGTTAATTTTAAAATGAGACTAAAGTTATAAAGTTATAAACGAAATATTTTTTTCAATCTATAAATTATTAAAAATTATAATGTCAATGTAAATTAAATTTATAACTTCTTTTTAGATATTTAAAATAATATTTTGTAATAAAATTCGTACTTAAAGGAGTTGTAAAAAAAATTTCGTTCATTTGAATGTTCAAAACTTTTGGCTCATATTTTAAAATTAAATAAACTTGTTATTTTCATTTGAACAAATCAACATTTTGAATTTTAATTTACTTGATTGTGACGTTTTTGTGTTTTTAGGGTTCTTAAATATTAATTTCTGTTGTACGAAACAACATTTTGGATTTTAAGAATAAATTACATTACTGCGGGTAAAATTTAATGTAAATTTTTAATTTTGAAAATACATTTACGCGATTAAACTATATTAATAGTCAAAATATAAATTATAACCTAACTTTATTATTCTAGTTTCTAAAAGTCATTTATAAAATAAAAACATTAAACTTTGTAAATCATTAAAAACATGTGTATATAAAAAAATTAATATAATTTTATAGTTCATTTTTACGAGTATATACACTGAAAAAAAATTTATTTGATTCAAATACTCGATTACTTGAATATTATCAAATAAATATTTACTTGAACCAAATAATTTTTAATTGAATTAAATAAATTGTATTTGAACCAATAATTTTTGTATTTGAAACAAATACCATTTAATTGACTTAAATAATAATTATTTGATACAAATAAATATTTATTTGATAATAGTCAAGTAATCGAGTATTTGAATCAAATAAATTGTTTTTTCAGTGTAA